CTCTAAAATTCACCTGGACTTGTCTGGCCGGTGTGGCTCAATAGTTAAGTGTCAACCTATGAACCAGGAGGTCACAGTTCAATTCCCCGTCTGGGCAGATGCCCGGATTGCGGGCTTGATCCCCAGTAGGAGGTGTGCAGGAGGCAGCCTATCGATGATTCTCATTATTGATGTTTCTCTCCCTCTCTGAAATCAATAAAAATAAACAAAAATGAAGTAAAATTCACCTGGACTCATGTTGTGAAATTTTTCCTGCACGAAGTCAAGAATCTACACTACCTGGCTGGCCCTAAGCAGACCCACCAGGGCCAGGTCCCCTTTCTGGTAACAGGAGGATGGAGTGAGAACGCTGATGGAGCACTTAGCTGTCCCCATAATCTGCCTGGCAGGACAACTGCAGGCCTGGGATAAGGGTACTTGGATCATAGTATCGGGGTTATGAACACAGGCTTTCCTCCCTAGGCAAGCTTGGAGATGAAAAGAGAGCTTGCTGTAGCTGAAAGGTCCAATTTGGGGTTTCTTAAGATGGTAGAATCCAAGGTTTCTAAGATTGCAAGAGACGCTGGGATTCCTCTAAGACGGAGAGGATGCAGTTACGTAGCAGGAGAGTGAAAAAGGAGTGAACCCGGCGACCTCCACAAAGCACCACACATGGGGAGATGTGAGGTTTTGATGGGGGTGCCTGGCAGCCAAGAATAGGAGGGGACTGGGTGGGGTGTGTGAGCCTGCTCACTGCTCAGGTGAACAGTTAACCCCATTCACCTTGGGTCAATTCCTCATTCCCCCTGGAGGGGATGCTAGTGACTTCAGAAACTAGACGGACTTGGTCCCGGTTGCCCTAATCTGGTTACAGCCAACCCATGTTTCCTCCAGGGTCTGGCACAGAAACCAAAGGAAGGGTCTGCAGATCTGGGCCCCGCTGGTTCCTTGGCACAGCTGCTCTGTCCTCTTCCCCGACGAGATAGAGAAGTCAGGGCTGGGAATCCGTGGGCCCCAGTTAGGAAGAAAACATCAACAATCGAAATTACAGCCTGGAAGAACTGCCTCGTCTACAAGTAACTGGGCAATTACCTCCCATTAAGCTCTCGTTAATTTGTTTTCTGAGGGTTACAGTACAGTCCTGGGTGGTTTACCCACCCTGCTGATCACCAAGGTGTTGGAGAAGATTAAGTCTTTCAAATGAATCATGGTGGAACTCTTCCATCTGGTTAACTATAATAGCCGTACTTATCCAGCACTATGAGCCAGGCCCTTTTATCTTTGGGGCCGTGGGAGGGATCGCAGGGTTTTTATTTTGAGTCCTGTTTCAGGGGAGGAAGCACCAGGAGAGGAAAGAGACACAAGGCAGAATTCAGGCCAGTGTTTTTCAAAGTGTGGTCTGGGGCTGGATCTCTCTTGCCTATGAATCACTTACTATTAAACAGGCAGAGCCCTGAGTCAGAAACTTTCCAGGTGATTCCTACAAATACTCGGGTCTGAAAAATCTCAGGTAGAAGTGGAAAGCCTTCTGACATTGGGATATTACTGACAGTGATAAATGAGGTACACAGGCAGCATCATTTCAGCCCATAATTTCTAAACCCACCCCAGAAGATCTTCCACGTTAGCATTAAGCTGGGTAAAGCTGGACTGTTTCATGTCACACTTCAACCATCTACTAGTACAGCTGGTGGTGCAAACAGAAAAAATGTCCGGCCCAAAGGCTAGAAGTCAGAGATGAAAAAACTTGTTTCATCGTCTCTAGATCATCAAAGGCTGACGTCTTAGTTTCAACTTCCTGCTCTCAGGTGTTGTAAATGCTGATACACAGTCCCTTTATCTTCTGATAACGAAGGTGAACATAAGTGATCTCCAGAAATGGTTCACACGTGGTTCCCAGGTTCTTGAAAAACCACAAGTGATTGGCAAAGGTTTCTGTAACAGACAAAAACTCAAACAAACAGCTCACTTCCTTCAAGGGCTCCTCAGGCAGTGGCTGGCAGCCTGAACGCAGTAAGGAGGGAAGTCTTCCTCTCCCTTCCCCCACATCTTCTTCCCCTTTCTGATGTCAGATATTTCTGACACTATGGAGTCCAAACTGGGGGGGAAAAGCTATTGATAAGGAATGGGACTCCCACCCTCACCCCACCTTTGAGGTCACTGCCCTCTCAGAGTTGGTTACAGACATTTCATTTTATTCATTTCAGAAAGCCTGGGGGCCACAAGGTTCTGAATCAATGTCTTGTAAGGCATACATTACATTGAACTTCGTTCAGTGTGCTCCGGGGAAATGCAGACGTGGGTTCTGATAGGATTCTGTTTACAAGTAGCCTGGGTAACTCTGGAACAGGTGGGAGTGACCCACACATTTTTACAAATTTGTGCACTTGGGTGGGTCCCTCAGCCCGGCCTGTGCCATCTCGAAGTCTGGGGCCCCATGGGGGCCCCTTGCCCTGGCTGCTGGCACCAGTTTTCCTCCAGTGCCCGGAACCCAGGCCTTCACTCTTTGCCAGGAGGGGCCGGCGCGGCGGGTGAGGGGCTTTGCTCCTCGGTCACCGCACGCGGGCCCTGGGAGTGTGGCAGAGGCCGGGGCAGAGGGCTTCCCTCTTTGCTCTTTGCTCACTACGCCTGCCCGGGGCCAACTGGCTTCGCTCTGTTGCTTGGCACCTACGTATGCAAATTAACCACCATCTTTGTTGGCTGTTAATTTGAGTATTGCCCTGATTAGCCAATGGGAAGCATATTGGTCTTACGCTAATTACAATGTTTCTCTTTTATTAGTTAGGATGGATGCATATATCTATATCCACTTATATGTAGATGGAAACTTAGGTCATTTCAGTGTCTTGGCTATTGTGAATAATGCTGCAAAGAACATGGGAGTGCAGATATCTTTTAGAGATAGTGATTTAATTTCCTTCAGATATATACCTGGAATCAGATTGTTGGATTATATGATAATTTTATTTTTCATTTTGGGAGGAATTTTTATACTTTTGTACATAGTGTCATGCCAATTTATGGTCCCATCAACAGTATAAAGGGCTCCCCTTTCTGCACATTCTCAACAATACTTGTATCTCTTGTCTTTTGATAATAGTCATTCTAACAGATGTGAGGTGATTTCTTATTGTAGTTTTAATTTACATTTCCCTGATTATTAATGATTATGAGAACTTTTTCATGTACTATTGGCCATTTAAATTTCTCCTTTCGAAAAATCTCTACTGGATTTAGGTTCTTTGCCCATTTTTAAATCATATTTTTTTGCTACTAAATTGTATGTGTTCTTTATATATTTTAAATATTCAC